TTGGAGCCACAGAGACTGTAGACTGGGATGGTTAATGTGCAGAGGGTGAGTACTGACTTGGAGCCACAGAGACTGTAAACTGGGATGGTCTTCTCAGAGTGACTGCAGCGCTGCATCAAATTTTAGATCACATGTGCTCTGGGCCGACAAGGTTTTTGTGCTGAAGCAACATTTTCACTTTACACAATTATCGACACTAGAACGTTCACTGCTGCATTCTTGCTGGTAGCATTATTGTGACTATTACATAGATGAAGAAAATATGGTTCACAGAAGAAGCCAGGAGCAACCAGCTAGCATTTACGCAGGGTTTGAACACATTTGGTTGAACATTTAGTCTAGCTCTAAGTACAAAACATTTGTATTGAACAGGTTATTAAATGTAAAAAAAAAACCAAACAAACAAAAAACAAAACAAAACAAAACAAAAAAACCCAAAAAACAAAAAACTGAGCTCCGGGTACAAAGCGAAACAACATCCTTTTTGTTATACCTACACAAATGTACAAATGATCCAACAATAATAATGAGCTGACTGAATATACCTCTAATGTTAATGGCACAAAAGTCAGTGTAGGACCTAAAACATCTCCTCTGTGTTGCAAATCTCGGAGCCAGTACTAACTTAATTCCTGTTTCTTAAAAAGCTGGAAGTTTGAGAAAAATAAAAATGGATAAAGAATCATGATGCATCAAACACAGTAAACCTTTAAGGAAAAAAGTTAAAATTATTGTGGTGACAGACATTTGAGGTCTATTTTAAATTCACATGTAGACAGAATTATATGGTGTTACAAACTTGGAAAGAAACAAAATAGCTTTTACTTTTCAGATAATAAAATTGAAATTGTAATTTTTTAATTTTTATTTTTTGGTTTTTCAAGACAGGGTTTCTCAGTAGACTTGGCTGTCCAGGCTGGCCTTGAACTCATAGAGCTCTATCTGCCCGACTTTGCCTCCCAAATGCGGGGATTAAAGGTGTATGCCACCACCATCTGGCTTGAAATTGTATTTTGTTGCTAAAAATCCTTAAATAACTATGATGTCAATAAACTGTAACAAGGACCCAAAGTAACATAGGTAAATTATTTTAAAATATAATTTCCTTGTATATCTCAGATATAATAAATGAAAAGGCAAAACGAGCATAGGAGTGTACACCTTTAATCCCAGAACTCAGGGAGGCAGAAGCAGGCAGATCACTGTGAGTTCGGGGTCAGCCTGGTCTACAAAGTGAGTCCAGGACAGCCAAAGCTACACAGAGAAACCCTGTACCAGAAAAAAAAGAAAAAAAAAAAGGCAGGCAGAAGCATATATAAAGTATTTTAATTAGCATAAAAGGAGCTTACGTGTATACCATGTGGACATATTTCATGTAAAAGAAAAGGCTTAACATGCTTGTTTCCCCTGAAGGGAACACCAGAAGTGGACATTGAGATGAAAAGTTGACATCTATGTTTTATAGCCCTAGCCCTAGTGCTGTCTAGATATTTCACAGAACCTATCTTTTCTTATAAATACTAGCTTTGTGTTCATAATGGCGAGTCTTTTGTGAAGTTATGTGAATGTTTTTCATCTCATACACTGCTCTTATTGCACCACTTCCTGAGAAGTCTATTTCTATGCACCCCAGATTGGGAGAGAACTGGCAGACCAGAAAACTGATCCCACCCACCTCCAGCTTCATGACTGTAACTTGGATTATTTACAGGAACAAGGGCAACTTCTAGCAGCTACACTGCGAAGACTCCCTCCTGGAAACTGTTAAACATATACATATCCTCAGAGAATGGAGAGGCTGTTTGTTTGGTTGGTTGGTTTGCAATCAGGTCTCCTTGTGTAGCTCTGACTGGCCTGAAACTCACTCTATAGACCAGGTTGGCCTTGAACTCACAGAGATCCACCTGCCTCTGCCTCCCAGGTGCTGGGATTAAAGGCTTGTTACCACCATGCCTGGGTTGACTGTTGCATCTTTCTAAAGCTAAAATGAAGAAAAGGAAGTGACTACTTATATAATACTTGTAGAACCTTTGGGTACAAGAACAAATATGAAGGAAGTGATCACTTGTAGTTATTAGTTTTTCATGTTTTTATTAGCATATCTTAATTTATACAATGCATATAATTATAATTATGACATTTTCATGCAGTACATAATATATTTCAAACATATTCTCCCCCTCCTCCACATTATTGGCTTTCTTCTACTCTCACTGATCCTTTAGTCCTGTCTTCTACTTTTATGTCTGTACTTACACTTTTAATTTATCTTTGGTGACTCAATGAGTTTCATTAAAGCTCCTTATAGGTACATGAATGAGGGTTTGTTTACTGGCGAATAGGCACCTTACCGGTGGCTAAACCACTGAAGAAAACTATCCCAAGATAGTTTAAATACATAGAAGTGTTTATTTTCACATTCAACTTCTTATAGACTTTCATAGGTATGAAGAAAGCTACACACTAGATTAAGTCACACAACTCTGTCTGCCAACAAATGAAGGTCTTTATATTCACTCATATGAAAAACCATTTGAACTTGTCTAAGCTTTTCTGAACCTATTATGCCCATAATTAGGGCCTTTTGCATTGTTTACGTGTAATAAATATAAATGCATATAAAAATACTTTAAATAAAAGTAACCCAAGTTTGTCAATGGGTTCACCTGTAAATCTTTTTCCAGAGCTGTGATGGATAAAACTGCAAATTTGACTGAACTTAGAATCATTATGGAAACACATCTCTGGGTGCATCTATGAAAGTGCTTCCAGGAGGTTTACTTGAGGAAAAACCTATCATGAATGTAGACTGCAGAATTCCATGGGCTGAAGTCCTA